CTTGCAGTCTCAACAATTTTTTGGTATTGTGACTTACCTGTTGTTATTGATACAAAGTCTTACTATAAACTCGCACAACCGGCTGCTTGAGTGAAAAGTTTGAATAAGAAGGAAGCTTATTAACTAGACTATGTGTGTGCACATTATACCTTACCAATTAGAGATGAAGGCCATTTCTTGTGTGATTACACGCAATTATTAAATTTGCTGATTTCTGAGTACTCCAATGTATCAGCTATAAAGACCTTGAAGAGTGGGGTAAGTGCGACAGACATTGGTAGGCCGACCGTTCAGATATTTCGAATCGGTGATAGCAGCTTGTCAGTTGCACTGATTGCAGCATGATTGAAAGTATGGAGAATAGACGATCTCAAAACTGCTGTTTATTTTAATTAGTACAAGAAATCTTGTCTTGTGATAACCACTAAAAAATGAGCTTAAATAAACTAATGCCCGAGACGCTATCTGCTATAACTAATTATTTGCTGTAGAATAGTAAATCCCAGGAAATCAAAAATACATTTATGGTCTGAGTGTGGTCCAGACTTTTATTCTTTGTCGTGTTATAAAACAATTTTTTGCTGTTGTCTGGCTTCACTTATATTCTTGACCTAAAGGTATCATTTGATCTCGTAAGGTGAAAGGTTTTTTGACAATTCACAACACTGACAGGAAAGTATTCCATCTTACTCAGAGGTTTGTAGGAGAAAAGTTGAGTGAGACTATAATTTATGGACGATTTTCGTTTGTCCCATAAGACGATGGAAACCCTTCAGCTGAGCACTGCTTGAGCAACGCACCACTTTATGACCTTGTCACCGCATTAATTTATCTTCCACCGCCGGGTGAGGGTAAATGGTTCAAATACTACACATGATCTTAGCTCAGAGAGCTTTATTAGGTTATTTGAATGGTTCGAATGCTTTTGGATGGAATAGAAGAAACTTACTTTTAACTTGCTTCTGTATCTAGTAGCAGTGGATCAACGACACCTCCAGGCAGGAACCTAGGTATGTTATGGATAAAAGACGAAAAGAAAAAATGTTCGTAGATCATGGCAACACACTATCCTTAGCCCTCAAGAATATGTCAAGTTTCCTCTTTAAGGGTTCTTGGGAAGTCGTTTGGACTAGCTCAGCCTGCAGCGAGTTCCAGCATTTGACAACTCTTAAGGAGTAGAAGGTATGTATACAGTCCGTTCTGCTATGTTATTTCCAGTTCTGGGCGTTTTCAGATTCAGATTTGTGTAGTAAAGACAGAAGGCCTACGACCTATGTTATTCCTTTTCTAGCATGCTTCTGTGAGTGTCAAGTCTTCTCTTGAATGAGTCAATTGAAGGTGCGGACACCACTGCTTCAAGCAGCAGGTTCCAAATATCGATGACACGGTGTGAAAACCTGTATGCCATGGGTAGTTTACTCGTTCTTGGCTTTTCTGCTCGCCTGCTATGTCCTCTGAGGTGTCCCGATCTAGTGGGAAGAAAGAGAGAGAAAACGTTAGGTTCAAAATCATATCTCAGTATTCTGTACATCAAAATTAGATCTCCTCTTAGTCTGCGATAGAACAGAGTGAAGAGGTCCAGTTTTTCAAGCCGCTCTTTGTATGATAAACCCTGGAGTTCCGGAACAGCACGGGCAGCTGCCCTCTGTACTTTTTCTAGTATGTCCGAGTCACCTTTTAAACAGGGGCTTGCAGCCAGAGCGCAGTCCTCTAGCTTAGTTCTCACTAAGGATGTGTATACTGAGGTGAACATGGTAGTATCTAACTTGGCGAATGTCCGTTTTAAAGCCCAGAGGGTTTGAAACCATTTAGCGCCGACCTCCCGGCAATTAGCTGTCGTCTTAAGATCATGGCTCACTGTCACCCCTAGATCCTTATGAAACCGGACCACGGGTAATAGCACTTCCCCTATGTTGTGCCTATTAGCCTTTGAATCCCCAAAGTGCATGTAGACACACTTTATAGGCGTCAGCCACTCTTTAGACCAGTTAATCATATTATTTAAGTTTGCCTGAAGAGCACCTGCGTTTAAGTCTCCACATATTACTCGACAGGTCTTTACGTTGTCAGCGTATAATAACATTTGAGACTGTACTATACTTGAGAGATCAATAACATACAGATTCACTCTCTTCTTTAGTTACGTTGGTAATCCAATGATGCATCCCTGTTCTGTAGTTTATGTACGAAAATATTCTCTTGGGCTGCTTCAGTGCAGATTATGCCAACTGCATTTCATATTTTCTTTGAGCTTTCTGAATTTTTGTTATACACTTGTTTCTTATCGATCTGTAGCGTTCCATAGTACCTGCTGTGCCAAGGCGGATGGCAACATCCCAACATTCCTTCTTTTGTCTTGGTAAGCGTCAAATATCCCGGCCTATCCATGGATGGCCGTGATTCTTCTTCTTTGGAACTGTCCAGGGTATGTATGGTTGAGTTACCCGATTGTATAACCGCCTGAAAAGAGTCCATGCCTCTTGTACTGATGCTCTTGAGTCTATTTCCCAGATTTCAGCCGATGCTGCGGAGTTGATTGCCACCATATCTGCCTTCCGTATATTAGGACGGGCCGGCGCAACTGTTTGACAGGCAATCTCAGTCATGAATTTGAATAAGATGACTGCATGGCTACTTCTCCCTAGTGGTGGGAGAAAAGTCATTTGACCAACGTCATCACCGTGTGTGAAGACTAAATCTAAAAGAGAAGAAGAATTTCCCAAGTCATATCTTGTGGGGTTTCTAATGTGCTGGAATAAAACTAATCCAATCGAGGTGTCTAACAGTTTGCAGTCGAACGACGTTATCGATGACCCCACTTCTAAGTTAAGCCAGTTTATATACGGTGCATCAAAGTCGCCTACTACGAGGCTTTTTCTCTTGTTACACCAGGACTTAAGTTTACTTAGGAGAAAATCATCTGCTACGCATTCTGGACTGCGATATACTACAACTAATTCAATATCTTTCCGTCTACATTTCAGCTTACACCGCACCAGTTCACATGTCCCTGAAACATGTGCTACTGTCTCAGCTACTCTTATGGTTAGGGAACACTTTGTGTACAGGATAACCCCGCCTCCCCTACGGTTTAGTCTATCAGCCGTACTGGTTAAAAAACCAGTCAACTGAATTTCATTATCTAATACTTCTGAAGTTAACCGAGTTTCCGAGACAGCAATAACATCCGGTTTTTCTTTATCTACCATTGACTTAAACTCCGCCATTTGATTTAGTAGGCTGTGAGCATTTGTGTAGCAAACCTTTAAGTCTGTGGAGAACTTTCCCTTACCACCCAGAGTGGTTTGGGGATCGTTTTGCTCCGAACTTTTACAATTTGAAAACCCTTAAGAACGAGGTTTCTTTCACCGTTTCGGCGACGCTCATTTATTTCCACTTCCGCACCTCGTCTCTTAATACGATCAGCCAGGCTGAGATCCTCACGGACGTATATTCCGGATACAACCAGTTTACGTAAGTTACTAGAATCAGGTTCCTTCCTTCAACCGCGGCAAATGTAACCTTCAAGAGGCGGTTTTTCTGAGGACTTTCAAACTCCACCTTTTGTCGTATTCTATAAAGCTTACAAATACTAACTCCTGAAACTGTATCTGGAATTAGTTTGCTTTTTAAGGACTTAATATGACTGAGATTGTGTTCAAATCTAGCCTTTGGTTCTTAATCGGGAGATTCTCTTAACTTATGAAAAATGGCTGACCTCTCAGAGAGGTCTGTCTTAACACGTAGTGGAGTTTTTGTTTCTGTTACTGTCTCTTTCAATGACTTGCTGACCAGCTGCGTTTTGCTTACAGCTCTTTTCTCATTTCTTTTTCTCCGTACTGAAGTTCATTTATCATCACTCAAGACAGCCACACCGGGACTATTTGGAACAGTGACGGTTTTATCCTGGTCTTCAATTTCCACTAGAGGTGTATGATTACCGATGTCAATATCAAGCGGCACTTCACTCCTCATTGATGTTAACGGAGATTTCACTTTCTCTCCAATCACAGTCGGGTGTTTAGCGGGGCCGGAAGCGGCACGTACTACACTGACACATTCTTCACCGTCAGTGCTCATGTTAACAGCGCAACCGCCATCGTTTTTCTTACAGGCCAAATCCAATAGGCTCATAGCCTCCTTAATTAGTAACTTCTTATTTGCACAGCAAAGCATACAAAGCCAATACGAGTTAGGCTTCCAGCATCTTTTGTACGCCGTAGGACTTAGACGTGTACACATCTCATGGCGCCACTTTTTACATTCATCGCACTGCATTCCTTCCTCAACGGGGAACAAGCAGTTTGGTTGTTCACATTTATAAGTCTTACTAACCATTGTATTTTGATTAAAAAGGTTTAAGACACAATATGATCACAATGTGAACACGAGTGTCAGTCAATGAGTAAAAAAGGTACCACAGGAGAAAGTTTGGCAAAAATTTCAAACCTTAACCAAAGTACTTTTAGTTAAAGTCGACCAAGAATGCTTTTTGGTGCAACAAGTACACAAAGCAAGGATAATCACGACAAGTACAAAAATCACTGCCCTTTATGCAAATCACTATAGAAACAATTATCGCTTTCCAAAGTTTGCCTCAGGAGAGAATAATTAGAGGGATAAATTTTTACTCTTAAGGATCAGCTTCAGTAGCCTATATGTAAATTTCAACAGACGAACAGAAGCCTATTTCTGATACGAATTGAGTTTTGGATTTGGTGGTGGGAATTTCGACATTACTAGGTCAGTTAGTGTTATGTAAAATGGTGCAATCTAACCATAGTATCTTACCTATTATTCCTGCTTGTGATGAGTCTTCTACAGAGCAAAAGCGAAAAAAGATCATTTCCTCTCATTACGTAATATCTTTCACATTTGTTTCATATCAGTGATTGTTCTGAAGTTATATGGAGAATATTTCACTAGTACATGAGACATCTTGAAAATCAGTTCTTATAGATATTGTTCTGGCGTCATGGGGATACATTACGGTCCTCTTCATGAATTCAGAAATACAGACAAGTAATTTCAATACTTCCCAGCTAGCATTAACCGGGACCCTAGAGGCAGTCTCGTAGCTCTCCTGGCAGTTTCGTGAACATATAATTTTCTTTGAAGTAGCCTAAAGTGCTTTGGGTGCTTCGAGGGTCCCCTGATTTTATGCTAACTGGGCTGGAGCTTTGCTTATTTAATAATGTTGTAGGTTTTTTCGATCTCTCATACCGGAAGATTTGCATTCCCTTATCCGTCGTTTCACTCTCACATCTATGTTTTGTTCAATACTCTTTGTGGAACCAGGGTTTTTATAATGTGTAAGCTTTTATTTTTTGACAGTAACGTTTACAGTTTCCTATTGCAGCCTAATTCTGTATCAAGTCTACCACTGAATTTGTGGTATATTTTCATCTCCGATTGCTCTTTAAAACTGTTATCGATATTTATTAAAAGCGTATCCTTGTTGTGCCTGTCTAAAACACTTGATTGCTACTCTATGGTAGGTTGGTTTAATCTATCCGTATGATATTCCTGGTACTCTTTATGGGTTGACAGTTCGAAATATTGAATATTTTATCTTTTTCTTATTTTCACGTCACCCAGTTTCATTGGGCACTGTTAGTCACGCAGGGTTTTTAGTTATTCGAAACTCGGAAATGCCATTAACTTCAGGGTTGTATAAACAACATGAGGCTTAATATCTTCATCACTGGACGAATGTGTTGATACTATAAAGAACAGAGTATTCGTAAAATGATGCTTAATAAGTCAATGGCGTTCACACTTATGTGGGATCAATGGATATTTATACGTCTCTACCCGTTAAAAACTTATGATACTAAGCCGTTTGTGACTTTTTTTCGAAAGACCTGTTCGCCAAATTCCCTTCATTTGTCGGATTACGTAGCCTTAGTTCATCCACCGTTGTACTTTTACCTTATACTTTTTGTCTTGATGTGCTGTTTGTGTATAGACTTCGTCACTGCGTTAAAACGTAAGTACCTGTAGTTTCTTACAAAAAGTAAGGGTAGTATCATGTTAACTTGAAAAGATATGGTCTTCGTGAACTCAATATTGTTGTATTATCTTCTCTATAGTATCAAAAAATCAAATATACAGAACTCAATAGAGAAAATATTTTCGAAGGAATTATAGAGTGGGTTTCATTCTGTAGCTCATCGACTCAATACACTATGCATTACTCATCTGAAACTACCTCTGGTTTTCCCTTAACTTGGTACTACTCAATCAATGGTTCTACGACCTACAACTCCGTAATCAACTTTTAGCTCGTATTTACATTAAACTACTTTCTGCGTAGAGTCTAGTTATGGTTACTCACTGTGAAATCTAAGTAAAGTGGGTTTTAGACTTATTACCAACTGGTTACAACCCGAATGGTCAAACTTCTAAGTCATCACTCTTTCCAAGTTATTAGTGAGTAACGGCGCTAACTGTTGCACATCATAATTAAGTTTATTTGGAAAGAGTTCTCATTAATATCGGATGGGATTGCGAAGATTTATTGACTTTAAGAAACTTCATGAGAACAAATTTTTAAATGGCTTTAAAAACTTTTCCATGGAGAAAGTGGACTAGAACTCTCGTTATAGTAGTCAATCTTAACCCGTATGTTGGGGCAATGGTTGTCAATCTGACCGTAATATATACTCTACAAACTACAGTTCCATTGCTGTAACGTGATTAAATAATAGTCTCAGGTAATCCAGAATTTAATAAATTCTTTCCTGCTACACGTCGATTAGTAAAGTAGTAAGATTCAAGACCTTTTATGACCTTAACTAATGTAATGCTTGTAGACGGAATGTTGTTATTGTGTGTTTTCTTCACTCTTATACAACCAATCGGCCTTGGTGGTGTTTCGACGGTCGTTTGATTTCCATAACTGATTAAGTTAAGGTGTGTTATTTTAAAAAAATTTCTAAGTCCTTCATCCAGTGAAATAATTTGTCAGTTTATGATACAACTACTTGATATCATTCAAGTTATCTACATAAAGTAGTACTGATTTCTTGTGTGCTAACAACAATTATTACATACACTTCAAAATTTGCACTAGCGGTAAACTTGACAGTATCGACTTTCGTCATTAAAACAGTCGGTCAAAAAACTTGACACGAATAAAAAAGTAGCATTTTAAAATTTTCTGACCAAGCATTTAGTAGTCCCTTCATGACGTTGAGGTCATTCACGCCCAAATACATTTTATGACTATAGAATCAAGATAGAGATAATTTTCGTCACTTCTTGTCAGTCTAATAACCTTACTGTTAGATATATCTGAGGTTCAGAGCACACAACATCTTCCGCTAGCTGGTTGTTGTGTAAATGCACATACATTCTAGTCACTGCCTTCTCGTGGTGCGGGTGTTGTATACGAAATTGCGAGGACGAAAAGCTAACAACCGGCACTTTATATGAGTTGGTGGATACAGAGGACCCACTTAGGGGAGTTAGAAAACTCTGATTCCAAACCAATGATGTACATGAGCTCCAGGATCCTAAGGAAACAAATGGCGTACGAACCTATGGTTGGTCACAGGCTACCATGGGACTGCATCTGCTTACGTTGCTCCACTGCCTTGAGGATTAGACCTTTAGGTCAAAGGCTCGGGTGTAGCCCCCTAAGAAAGCCACCTGCTTCAGTTTGGGCACCCGAGCAGTATTCCAGCTCTTGCACAAATTGAGTTATTTGTGTGGCGCATATACATGTGGTGACTCCTTGTACCAATGTTTATATGCTTATATAAACAAATAAACATTCTAGTCATGTTTGCCCAACTTTTCATACATTCTGGTATCCATTTTACGCTATTTTCGTTTCAGGGTTCATTACTCTGTTTTTTGGAATACATATTCTTATTCCTAAGACACATACCACCTGGGATTCTGTGGATATATTTCCTGGTAGAATTAAATTGGAAACGACAGGGCATCTTAGCTGGGAGGATATTTGTATGCTTATTATACTGTATTTTAAAAGTGAGTTACATCTTAACACTCAATTATATAAGTGTTTTATGTAATGTTAAACGTTTTTAACACTTGTGGAAACACTGTTCACATCTTAATTTTATAACATGTGTTAGTCACTGACGGTTGGTTCTTATTGCGTGTGATAAGAAATCAGTATTTACAGCGTTAGTTTACTATATGTAAACGTGGATGTCAGACATTATCGTCCGCTTGGATTCCAAGTTCATGATAACCATAGTATAGTTTATGTTACCCAGCATGATTGGATTACATTGGTTGTGTTTCAATCTCTTTGATGTTATTCAAAATTAAAAAAAGGATGTACATTGTTATAGTTACCCTATTGCTCTTAATGGTTTATTGTGGCAGCTTTCTGTCGTAGCTTAATGTGGACATGATGATGTCAGATGCAGTTAGAGGTATGATCGCAGCTGTCACCTCCTGCTTGCCTACACCGTGGAAGTATATTTCTTAAGAGATTTGAAAAAGAAGCTAGATTAACGTCGGTCTTAGCGATCTAAGAGTAATGACCAAGGACGACTGCTTGGGGACGGTCATGCACGACCTTCTTATGGTACGCGTTTCAAACAAATTTACTCCTGCAGATGGAAGTCTGTAGAGTGAGGTGAGGTGTGACAATTTTATGATAGACGTTTTCCAACCTCTTCATTCCTTCACAAAAAGCAGCATCGCTGCAGATGCCGATTGTCTACTGTCACAGCCCTCTACAGTCAGGAGTATAAGTTCACCGTTCTCCACCCGACCTGTCTGGTATGGTAGGACCTGAAGAGACAATTGTTCCGGCCAATATAGCTCGACTGAGTCATCACGATAGGCAAGCTCGACCACCACGTCAAGTTGGCAGCTGCGGTCGGGCAACTTAATCTGTGTTTGTTCTTTAGGTACGTTTAAGTGTCAATCAGTATCATATGGATTTTAACTCTTCGTTATCTAACAAGATTTTGAACCAGTAACCGATATCAATCATTTTCAGTTTATAAGTGTGCATCTTGAATTTACACATACTTCTGTACTGCTTCCGAGTTGAGTTTTACAGATAATTCTATAATTCCTAACACTCACTTCATTTAGATTCTTCACAAAGAATGAAAATTGTGTTTTCAGTTTCGTTGAGATTATGAACTGATCCAAATTTGAACACCATTGAGACCCCGAAAGCACTAGACAGCCTTTTCGTCCTAGTACGGGACACCCCAGAAGTGCACACCCACGGCCTCGCACTCGAAAATTGAGTCCAACACCTTCAGGCTCGCGCGCGGACGTCTGACTTCCAGACTTCTGAGTCAGAATTCGTTCGCGCTAATGTCTAACTTCAATGAATCCACGATATTGCGTGACCACCTTCCATTGTCTACGGTAATTAACCACCACATATGACGCAGTTCAGCTCCATTGGCGCTCACGGATTCTCACTAGAACTTCTGAAATTTTCTCTCGGGGTCAGTCACTAGCGAGAACATGATGATTGTTAGTATGGGGTTATGGAGATTGTTGGATCTCAGTCAAATCATGACCATGTTTTCAACAGTGGTTCGTGGTTTCGATGAAACTCAACAATTTCTAAAGCCACATATTGACATACATTTGAGGTTGCTTATTCCTACATAAGAGATAATCCGTTCTGCTATATCCTCGGTCATCTTGGTTCTGTTGAACATAAGGTTTTACAGCATGTCAATTTAAGTTTCAGTTTTGTTTCGTTTTGCACCTTGTCTTCCTGTTGTGATAGTATCAGGATTTTCATGTTTTGTTTTTCATTTCGTGAAATCTATTTAGAGCTTTATTCATTGCATTCAGATATTTTGAAAACGTTGAACAATATTATCAGTTGTTAATTTTAACGTTCCGTAACCATCATACTTCGTTGTGCTTTAAGATTGTGTTTTCTCATAGTATCTTTTGTTTGCGAAAAATTACTAATTGGTGATTGCAATTTAGGACTTATTCGGAAAGATATATAATTTCACTAGAGGCGTTTAAATTGATCATCTTATTCTTTAATAAAGGATAGTCTTTCGTTATAATGTTGATAAACACAGCACTCGTTTGGTACTGACAATAGGGATCAGTAATCTCGATAATACTTCGTTTTTAGTTCTCTCGTAACCAATTCTAATATGTTTTTTTGCACTGCTAATAATTCGCAACTCTGACTTGAATACCACGAAAAAACTACTCACATCCTCTTTTCTTTCCTGCCCCAGTGACCAGAGTGAAAACATCAGTTTTTGTAGACTAAGCTATTTCATTTTGGCCCAGTATAATAATCCCGTAATGCAATAGGTTTTATCAATTATATATCGTTAAAGAAATAATTAGAATACTTGAATTGAGTATTTGTTACTGATACAAAATATCGTAAAAATGATTTAAAACTCCTTGTGTTCGCACTGAATAATTTGCCATAATAGAATCTCAACCTAATTGATATTGGTTTGATTCTCATAAGTTGTATTGAGGTTGAATATCCCTGACCAAAGTTAGTCATAGGGTACTGGGTCGGTCAGTCAGTAACAACGTGGAACTTTGTACGTACGTACATCAGTTCGAGTTGCCATACCACATTAGCACAGAGATGCAGTTGTCGATTCAAATCCCGTAGTGGTAGACGTAGTAAGAGTATAAGCAGTAATCGGAAAGATTAGTGTTTGTAGATGTTACTTAAAGAGTATAATACAGTGAAATAAATTTGAGTGAAAAAAAAGAGACAAGGAGGAACCAGGATATTAGAATTTGGAAGAACACAAAAAGTGGATGCACCTGCGCCATTGCAAACGATTTTGAGCCATGTCATTGAGGGTCTCTAACCATCGGTTGCTATCACCTCGCGGTCCCCAACCAGGTAGTCTACACCTACCAACATGGTTCAATCCACTTGTCAGTGACTTCATGGACTTGTGCCATGTTTTGGTTTGGCCGCCCCTAGCTTTCTTCCAACCTACTCCTATACCACTGAACATACCACGTCGAGGCAGTCGGTGGTTGGGCATACGTAACACGTGTCCCAGCCATCTCAACTGATGAAGTTTCAATACATCATCAATTGATTTGCCATCCTTACCTAGTACCCGTTTCCTAACAACTTCGTTACTTGCTCGATGGTCCAAGGATATATGAGCAATGTTTCGAAGACACCTATGATCAAATACTAGTAACTTACGAATATCCTCTACTCTTACCGGCCATGTTTCACTGCCATAAAGTAGGACGGAACGAACTGCTGCTCAGTAAACACGTCCTTTGGTTGGTAGACGGATATCTCGCCTACGTCATAAATGACGCAAGTTGGCAAAAGCTAGTCGAGCCTTCTATATCCGTGCTGAGATTTCGTCACATACCAGACCACAAGGGCTGATGAGACTTCCAAGGTGAGTGAAGCGGTCGACACGCTCAACTACTTCACTCCCTATCATTAGTTCTTGTGTCGATGCAACCCAATCCTGAAGCAACATTTAACATTTCTAAGGGGAGAATCGCATCCCGAACATGCTTGCATTGTTGCTTAGAGTGGTCAGAAGATTGCATTTTGTCAGCGTCTTCACCAAATAAAACTATGTCATCAGCATATTCTAAGTCAACAAGTGAACCTCCCGGTAGAAGTTCAACCCCTGGAAATTTAGATGAGGAAAGTATTATTTCTAAAAGTACGTCAATGACAAAGTTAAACAAGAATGGAGAGAGTGGACAGCCCTGACGATCACCACTTGAGGTATTAAAATCACTTCATATCTTTCTTTCTACGAACCTATTCTTTCTTCTTGTACTATATTTCTATATGCAATCTTTCTCTTATATATTACCACCTTTGACCTAACCACTGCTATGAATCCGGTGTTCATCTTGTTGTGCTGATGCGGTATGGCAACCTGGACCGATGCACATATGTGCCTGGTCCTACGTTGTAGCTGACTGACTGACTGACTTGAGGTAATCAATTCTGATGACAGTTCGCCATAAGCTCTCACTCTACCAGTTGTGTTCGAGTAGAGAGCCTTTATAAGGTTAATGTACTTCTTTGGTACTCCTTTCAGTGACAAACACTGCCATAGAACCTCACGATCAACAGAGTCGAATGCCGCCTTAAGGTCGAGAAATACTACCATTGTGGGGCGTCTGAATGTGTGTCTGTGTTCTAGAACCTGACGTAGTGTGAATATCTGATCTATACAACCACGTCCAGGTCGAAAACCAGCCTGGTTTTCTCTAGTCTGCTCTTCACGAGCTTTAGTTAGGCGTCGAAGTATTATTGAAGCTAATATTTTAGACACTATATTAGTCAAACTGATTCCTCTGTGATTGTCACAAGAGGACTTTTGTCCTTTCTTATAGACTGGCACAATCAGTGATTGAGACCAGTCAGATGGGATTACGTCCAGTTCCCAAATTCTACCTAAGACCTCAGTTAATCTCATTGCTAATACTGGACCACCATCCTTAAAAATCTCAGGAGTAAACCTGTCAGGGCCTGCTGCTCTCCCTCGTTTCAGATTTCCTATGGCTTTTTCAACTTCGTAAAGACGGAGGACCTACATTAACTTGCCATTCAGGTTGACTGGAGATCGTGGGAAACCGAAGTGTGGCTGAAGGCCAGTTGAACTGATCCCTAAAGTGTTCTGCCCATCGATCCAATCTCCTGGATTGAGAATGAATAATATGTCCATCTTTCTCTGAGATTGTTTCGCTAACGGTCGGGTTCCTAATTCCGGTTTCCTTAACGAGTCTGAACAATTGTCTGCTATTACCTATTGCCGCTGCCTTTTCCATCTCTCTTGCTTTCGCTACCCACCACTGTTCGCGATCATTGCGTAGACTTCTTGTCAGCTTGCGCTTAAGCTGACTCCGCTCTTCATTATGTTCAGAGCCAGGTGGAATGAGTTTCCGAGCATCTATCAGTGCGATAGATGCTGCTGAGATCCAGTGTTGCTCCCTAACCTTCCGGTTTACCTTACTAGCAGATATCACTGCTGTTTCCACAGCTTTTCGGATATCATTCCATGCTGCATCGGGGTGGGCATCACATACATGGCTGCCTAACTGTTTTCCTAGTTGTTCCTGAAATATACTCTTAGCTTGACTATCATTAAGTAGGCCCTAAGAGGTTTCCTTGCAGCGTCTTTCCTACGTCCAGTAAGACGCAAGCAAATACGCGCTCGCACTAGAGCATGATCTGAATCTAGGCATGTGCTCCAGAATGAGCGACAGTCTTCTATCGAGCCCCTCCATCGGTGGCTGATAGCGATGTGATCTATTTGGGTCCAACGTTGGGACGAATTAGGGGGTCGCCATGTTAAAAGATGTTTTTCCTTATGCTTAAAGTTAGTATTTGCAAGGAACAGGCGGTTATCTGAGCATAGCTGCAACAGACGGTCGCCATTATCTGTTCTTTGAGCCACGACACCATAAGATCCACCTAGGTGTCTTTCCTATCGCTTAGTTTACCTACTTGAGCATTAAAGTCACCGGCCACTATTACTACATCCGAGCGCCTAGCTTTTCGGAGAAGGTCCGAAAGCTTTCTGTAAAACTCATCTTTTACATCATCTGAGCTGCAGTCAGTGGGAGAATAGGCAGAGACGACGAAGAGGCAACGACGAGTGTCCCTATCTTTCCGGATTCTTACTGTTCCGTTCAGTCGGACAGCGCACAAACGACTGTCTACTGGGATCCACTCTAAGAGAGCTAGTTCTGCCCTAGGACTCAGTGCTATACCTACGCCGGCGAGTCCATTATTATTTACCATGTCATTTATTCACTCTCTTTTATTCCCATTTTATGTATCCTTACTTTTCCACTTATACAGCAGCTCGCCTATGGTGGAAACTCAGTTCTATCTAAACGTTCTCGAGTCACTGCCTGGTTGAAAATTTTATGCTACCACCAAATACGAATACTAAAGCAGTTTTTCTGAAACCACGTGCACCATTCAAACTGGCTGTTTTCAACGTTCGCACACTTATGCAAGTCGGACAACAGATAGGGCTGGCTATGTCTTTGGAAAGTCTTAATATCGACATTTGTTGTCTATCCGAGAAAGATTGACTCGCGAGGAGCAGACTTGTTTTCGTTCTAGTCGAGGATCATATCTTCACCCTCCCTCAAATGTTAGGACACCGTCATATTTATCAAAGGCCAACAATCGTAGTGTTTCTTGATGTTAGGGCTGCCTTCGATTCGTCGGACAAGACTGTTCTATGGGATTGTCTATTGAAGAAAGGTGTGCCTGAGAAGTTTATTAACATCTTGAAAGCCCTAGGTAATACAAACACCTCAGGTAGAGTGAGGGCATGCAACCACCTCTCTCCACTGTTCCATTCGAACAGTGGGGTTAGACAGGGCTGCCCAATCTCACCATTCCTCTTCAATTTTGGTACCGATGACGTTCTGAAAACAGCTCTGTAGGCAATGGTGGTGAGGATCTTTCGCCTGGAGAAAGACTACTCGATTTTAAGTATGCAGGTGATATTGTCTTACTGGGCGACGATACCCAAGCCATACAATCTACACTTAACCAGGTAGCAATTAGTGCCCGTGAGTATGGTATGTGCTTTGCACCTTCGGAGTGCAAAGTACTTCTACAAGATTGGCAGGATTCTGATCCTGTACTCACCCTGGATGGTGAGAAGATAGAAGTAGTCGAGAAGTTTGTGTATCTAGGTAGCTACATAAGTGCTGGTGTTGGCATTGGTGATGAGATCAATGTACGTATAGTGAAAGCCAGAGCGACTTATGCCAATCTGGGCCATCTTTGGCGCCTTCGTGATGTTAGTCTGGCTGTAAAAGGTCGGATCTACAACGCGTCGGTGAGAGTTCTACTCTATACTTGTGAAATCTGGTCTCTCCGAGTTGAGGATGTTAGACGACTCTCTGTGTTCGAACACCGTTGTCTCCGAAGGATTGCTGACATCCAGTGGCAACACCATGTCAGTAATGCAGAGGTTCGGCATCGTGTGTTCGGGCACAGAGACGATAATCCAATTGATGTCACCATCTTGAATCATCGACTTCGGTGGCTCGGACATGTTCTACGAATGTCGTCCCAGAGAATTCCACGCCGTGCATTATTTGCCGATGCTGGGACGGGTTGGGAAATAGCGGAGAGGTGGTCAGTGTATGACGTGGTGTCGTGGTATGAAAGAAAGCTGCAAAGGGCTGGCCTGTGTTGGTCCTTCACGGCTCCCTGTTTAGGGTCCTAGAGATGGTGCAACACAGTGGCTAGAGATGTTATCAGACATGGCTCAGAATAAAAGCCAATGGCGGTCCTCCTGTAACCTTCTTTTACTTTCTTCATTAAAAAAAGTGGTTGTTCCTTCTTTAGCTGAAGGAATTCTTTCTGCTTGTGCCTTTCCGTTTCCCCCATTATTCCTGTTATTATTATTATTATTATTATTATTATTATTATTATTGTCATTATTATTATTATTACACTAATCTGTTCGTTATTGTTTTTTTCCCTCCGAATTCTCATTGTTTTGTGTGGCGCACATATAGTTGGTGCCTTCTTGTACCAATATTCATGTGTTCAAATAAATAATAATAAATAAATAGAAACCGATCGAGCCTTGCGAATGCGGCTTCTAGGCGTTTCCTGCTGGATACCATTTAGAAGACGGGGGACAGAAGAAACTTCTTTTCTTGAGTTTTTGGTTAAGACAGACGTCTTTGAAGATTGTTTTTCCTCCTTTGGTTAGTGTGAGTCACTTGTTTTCGAACTCACCTGAGTTTGCCTCACACCAATTGGCGTGTCAACAGAGCGAGTACTGTACGATGTGTCCCGACCATGCTTTCCAAAACTCTTTTTTGCAGCATTTACCAATGAGATGGCCTCGGTTAGCAAGCTGTTTGCATCCGAACAGCACTGTTGATAAAGCCATACGCAACCGTTTTTACTGAACCGTTTGAAAGCCGCAGGCGTTAAATTCGTGCAAACTTCGTGGTACCAGCCTTTGCACTCATCGCACTGCATGCCGCTTTCAACGTGATAACGACAGCCCGAACGTTGGCAATTGCTTTTCATTGCACTGTCCAGTCATTAAACAGGGGTCTTTTTTTTAAAAAAAAGAACTAGATGCAATAATACTCAGAGACAAAAATGATCTATGACCAAAAAAGTGGAAAACTGTAGATTGTTAGAACCAAAAGTACTAACAGATATAATAGAAAACAAAGTACCAACGACAAACTAATTTAGCAACAGAAACGATACTCTAGTCGAATACTTTAACTGAAATAAATTCAATTAAAGTGGGAACAGTAGTCTTGATACGTAATAAACGATCAAAACAATAGAATCTACTCAGCGAGGAAAAATACCACTGTCCTTTTAATTAGCGCGCGAAATTTTTGGCGTATTTCTTAAAATTACGATTTAAATGTATATTAAACAGTAATCTATTAAATTATATTATTGGTTTTATGAATTTGTTGCTTTAACGAAATTTTTGATATCGAATCAGGCAGTTATTGTTGTTATTCCTATTCCTACACTTTATATCAGTGTAGCAAGTCGAAGTTAACATAATGTAAAACAAAAATGTCTGTATAGTAATATCAATCGGAACATCTCTCTTTATGTATATGTTATTTGTGCAGTTTTGAAAATGAAATCGTTGAAAAGAATTTCTTTGCCAAATTATAACTGGCTTATGACAAAGGAATGAAAAACACTGGAACTAAAATCCAAATAATACCAGTGTAGTGAGAAAATCCAAAGTTATTTAGTTTGAAATCTTGATATTCAGTAAGTAACTGAGTGCCATCAATTTTCTATGCACGTTATTTTTTTGTTTTTTTCTCCTAGGTTTGTGTTATACTTTCATTATGTAAAGAGTTTTTGAAATTTTCACGTTCGATGATATGTACAAAAGTGAGTACAGGTTTGTCATATTTCTTCGCCATCAAGCTATCCTTAGTTTTGATGGGATTTATTTTTTTAATGAAAATGAAATTGTGGTTAGACTTGTCTGTCTTAGCGAGATTATGCTGGATTTTTTTTGGTCGGGACTCACGCAATAGTTTGAAAGTTGGTTTATCAGGAAAAGTGATATCAGTTATAATTTCTGATCTCTAGAGTCAACCATGTCGGAATGAAACAATCAACACCGATTTTATAGGTTTGTGATTGCTACGCATCATTTAATGGCTGAACTCGAAAATATGGAGCGTTTAGATTCTGAATTAATAATTTAGGAGTGTCATTCTTACTGTAAAATCTTCAAGTCATAAGTACGACTTCATAACGTTCACAAATACCCGCAATCGAACATTCTTAAACTAAGACGGAACAGATACCCAGTGCTCTCAAGTTTTCAATAGATTTCTAGATGATATCTGTCTTTGATGAACACAGTCTTTAAATTGGACAGATTTACAGACTGCCTGTTTGCATAACTTTTCCTATGCTGAAATTGATGAGTAATAGTACTATTCAAAGAACGATAAATAAGAAACTTTGTTGGAGATGTTATTTCCCCAAATACAACTTATGAGACAGAAAATTAATATTAATTTCAGGGTAATGTAAGGTCAACTTTCAGCACATTTTCGTCACATTACTTTATAAAATTCTAATGCATTTTACCATGATTTGTATCTAGTGACACTCAGTTAGTTGATAAATTCCAATCACTGTAACTGATACATAACCAACTAACTTAAACGTGTTTTTAATTCTACTGGAGCTATTACCGACTAATTTTCAATTGCGAAACTTAACGAGGCAGAGAGTTAGAGGATAGAAACCATCTTGTTCACTGTATTGAAGTTGGATTTTCAAAATATTAGCATAGCGCACGAACACTGTTTACATGTATACTGTTTATCAATTATTTTATACAGCCATATACAGTCGAAATGCAGGCGCCATCAAATGAAGTTTGTAATATGTGCCTTGAATCTTATACTCATGTTGGCATTTTGTCTTGTAATGTAAGTCAATTTTTACAGCGTTAAATAATTGGGAAAGTTATGAAAAAGTATTATTTATTGTTTACATATGATTTTAATAAATTAATGAGTTGGACATTTTTGGTAACGAGAACTTCTATTGAAAACCAATTTTCTAAGATGTATTTAATTTACATACTTTGTGGTACAGTTGGACACCAAAAAAAGTTTGCACCACATAAATAAAGAGATAATATTGAGAAAAAGTAAAGTAAGGAATAGAAATATAATCCAAAAATGTAACTGGACAAGAATAGTGTGTGTTAGGGGATATAGTTTAGTTAAATGTACAGCCAAGGAAGTTCCTCCCAATTTACAGAGTATGAAAGAAAACTACAACAAGATTGCCTTTTTAATCTAAATAGTTTCACTTATTTTTAAATCATGATAAATACTCATTTATTCACATATATTTTTAAAATAAATTTTTCCATTTGCTTGTATGTGTATAGCATAAATTTTGTGCTAAATGCACAACACGTTGGTTTAATACATTTACTAAATGCCCGTCATGTAATCCAGAATGTGGTGAAAATTCAAGATGGCGGAGTGGATCGATGGATTTATTTGTTCAATTTTATTAAAACTCAGTGGTATCCTTCTTTTGTGCATTAGTTTACTAATTTTCCTTGTCAGCTATTCTTGTTAAATGATTAAGAATAATGTTCCAAAGACCTGTTTGTATTTTTCTTCCTGTGTACTTATTTATTTGGAGTAGAAGAATAATTAATTGTAATTGGCTGTGAAAAAGGTTGTATGTGTCTTGTCTATTTTATAAAATAGTTGATGATAACCTGTAAATTAACTTTTATTTTTTGGAGGAAAAAATGAACCGAACATTTTTGTGTCCTGTTCGTCTAATAATTGTTGACAGTATTATCAATTATTTCTCGATGTTTGTTTACAAATTTCCTTTTAAAGTTGTTTTATAACTTTTTCATCAACAAATAATTAGACCTTAGTTTTATGGTGGTTTTGACAAACTAATAAGTGGTTAAGGAATCTTTATGAAATAGGTTATTTTAGTATAGATGTTTATGTTGTAAAGCTACGGGCAGAGATGAATAATGTGGAGAAATGCTTAGTAACTTATGCTAACATTGATACATTCATATGATTACAGAATCAAATCACGTACCTAATTGGGGCACAATACACCCACAAAGAATATGATACTTATAATCTGCATAAAAATCAAACAAATTAGTTTATACCTATTTCTTTTGCATGGTCGCTATGTTCCCGTTCATAATGTAAAGAATTACTCTGTCAATAGTCAGCAAGTTCCTGACTCTAACTCTAATAATATTTGTAGGTCGTAAGGTAAAATTAATTATTCTTTAATGCAGTTACAAATAAACTCAATCTTTGTCGCGTTATCACTGGATCACTGGGAGTACCCTCCACTCCAAACTACTAATGTAATACCGTAAAGTTTGGATTTGGTTAATGTACTTTTTTTAGATATTTATATCTATCAAGAACAGCCGGTGGAAATGTGCTACTACGCATCACGTTACTTGATACATGTTCGTTTATGTCACTGTATAAATATGATACATGTTCAGTGCGTTTTACAGTTTGATAAGACGTGTATATTTATTTTCTTATGACTGCTCACTAATAAATTTCAGGTTGGATGATGAAATTATATGGTTTTATACTCAGATTGAAACATTATTATGATCTTGGATACGTCATAAGCTATCAATTCACTGGCTTCATTATTGTATTCTTGACGTAATCGATAGACCACACAAATTCCTGTCCTAAGCATCCAATAAAAACAAGGGGAAGCCAGATGGATGATAACAAGTACCTCATTTATATCCATAAATCATATGATTACGTAGGTAAACTGCAAGTCCGCAGATCAGCTCAATTAGTAGATTCCATTAGGTGCATAACCTGGATATTAGAAATACAAGACTGAGTAAAAGTTTAGGATTGGTCAACCGATTTCAAGTTGGCAACGATTAATGAGTCGGAAGACAATTTCCAATTAAGATGATACGGAAATGCTATAAAGGGCTGTTTAATAGATACTCATTAAAAATATACAAGTTAGTTTGTAATGGCTTGTCTTCGAGATACTTCCTTAGGCTTCGTTTATCAATCACCATGATAACCGATGTTAATTAAATCCCAACGGTGTATAAATCCAGAAAGCGACACGAAACGCCGACTGCAGTTTATTATTGGACAGCGCAAATAACAAACAGCAAGAGAATTTGAACAGGCAATCTGTTACGCTCGAGCAAGCGGATTCACAGTCAAAGGGAATCGAATCAATTAATAAGATTGAAGTATATATATTATGATGGAAAACTCCCCCTGTAGTTAAAAGTAGGGTCAGCGTCCCCATTCCGTAGAAAACAACCTTGCTAAAAAGACGCCAACCCGAATAAACAAATCAAACCATTCGAACAATGCCCCGGGTGTTGAGTGATCAGTCAGAAGATATATGACGCTTCATGGTGAAAGCCGATATTCTCCCGAAGTCACGAGGCTGATAGCAATTCAACAACCAGTGCAACAATTAATATAGGCATACGGAATGTCCGGAGAGACTAGGAAGACCAATCAAATAGCTATGGAAATGAGGAGGTACAACCTGACGGCCCTCGGAATCAGTGAGACCCATTAGATCCAAGTTTAACAGAAAAGGATAGATTCGAGAGAGATGCTGCTGCACTCTGGTTACGAAGAAGAAAATGCTCCACACACTCATCGAGTTGCTCTGATGCAGTCCATAGATGCATATAAACCATTTATATGGTGGGAATCTCATGGATCCAGAATCATCAAAGCATCCTTCAAAACAGAGGGAGTCACAATGAATTTTACCCAATGTCATGCACTCACCAATGGTAGCAACGACAATAAACATTAGTTTTACGAGAGGCTGCAATCAATCATAGAGAAGTGCCCAGGAAACCATATGACCGTCCTGATGGGAGATCTAAACTCAAAAGTCTGAATGGACAAAACCGGCTATGAAGATATCATGGAACGACACGGACTGACTGGAAGAAATGAACGAGAATAGTGAGATCTGTGAATTTAAGTGCATTCAAAAAAATGGTTATAGGTGGCACAATATTCCCACACAAACACATACACAAAGCTACATGGGTCTCACCGGATCAGACCACAGAGAACCAGACCAATCATATCTATATCACCAGAATATCCAAAAGGTCGCTGGAAGATGCGAGAAGCAGGAAAGGAGCTGAGATATCATACACGATGTCACATGTGTCCCACCGAACCACACGATGGAGAACCAGGCAGATCACATACTTGTAGATATCACTCCGCCAGCGATAGAGGAATTCAGGATGACCATCAGACAAATCAGGATTGAGAAAGCAGTAGGACCTGACAACATACCAACTGAAGCAGTGAGGTCACACATAGAAGCAACGGCGAACATGCTCCACATTCTATTCAGGAAGATTCGGGAGGAGGAGAAAGTGCCGATGGACTGGAAAGAACGACATCCCATCAAGAAAAGAAAGAAAGGGGATCTCCACAAATGTGAGGACTACAGAGGCATCACACTACTGCCAGTACCCTAAAAGGTTTTCAACAGTGTTGCTGGACTGGATGAAAGACTCAGTAGCCGTCCAATTTCGAGATCAACAGACCGGATTCGGTAAGAATCGGTCGTGCACAAAACAAATCGCGACACTAAGGATCATTGTTGAGCAGTCACTTGAATTGAATTCGTCACTATATATCAACTTCCTTGATTATGAGGAAGCGTTTGTCAGTGTGAATAAGTCAGTCAGCTACAACATAGAGCCAGGCACTTATATGCATCGGTCCAAGTTACCACACCTCATTAACACGACAAGATGAACACCGGATTCATAGTAGTTAATTCAGTGGTAGGAATATATAAAAGAAAGATTGCATATAAGGACATAGTACAGGAAGAAAGAATTAGTTCGTAGAAGGAAAGATATAAAGCGATTTTAATCTGATGGTTTAAGGGAAGACAGAGAGTGTATACACCTAAGCCAATGTGATCGATTCGGAGCCATGTTACAGTCTCCAACCATTGGTCACGATAGTGACGCAGAACTGCTGCTTAGTATATTCGTCCTCGAGTTGATAGACGGATATCTCACCCTCGACATAAGTCACGTAAGTTGGTAAAAGCCAAGCGAGCTTTCTGAATCCGTGGTGAGATTTCGCCAGACACCAACCCATTACGGTTGATCAGACTTCCAAGATAAGTGAAGTTGTCAACACGCCCGACTACTCCACTCCCTATCCTTAGTTCAGGTGTTGACGAAGACCAGTCCCGAAGTGACAACTTGCATTATGAGGGGGAGAAACGCATCCCAAACATCCTCGCATTGTTGCTCAGTGCTACCAAAAGACTGCACTTTACCATCGCCTTCACCAAACAAGACTATATCACCTGCGTATTCCAAATCGATAATTGAACCTCCTGGATGGAGATCAATGCCCGAAAATTCAGTCGACGAGAACGTTATTTCCAGCAGTATGTCCACGATGAGATCGAACAACGGGGATAAAGGACAACACTGGGTAGGGAAATTTACACAATCGAAGACCATCTTAGTCAGAAAGCATTATAATATCAGAGCCATAGCATTTCAAACGGAAATGTTTCAGTCTCTACAATATAAATATGTTTAATTCTCAACTCATCATATTTGGTACGTTGAACACCCGGAGATAATCAAATGAAGAAATAACTCACGGACAATCCTACATACGAAATTGATGAACGACTGAAATTAAGAACTCTTGCACAGAACCCAGTACGCCTATTTGCAGTTATACGAAAATTGTGACTGAACAAAGCAGTCATTGGACTAGCTAACTATATGTATCTAACGTTTGTGTACAACAGAAATGAAGGTCTAATCACTTGTCAATGCTTTTGAATTAAGAAACACGGCAAATTTTGTTGACATGTTATATTTGCTTTAGAACAAACTACAGACTTGGATGTGTTATACTCTAGCAGATATGGGTAAAGCAAGCATCGTGGAAACAAGCATTACTTTACCTGCATCCAGTCATAGGGCTTACACCATATGCTGTTAGAGACACATCACGATAATTAGTTTTACAACAGGTCCCTGATGGCGTTACAGATACGTTCTAACTTTTTGCTGTCCACGAATCCGTCACCGTTCTAAATATGCGGAAAAAATTACTCATATGCTAAACGAAACGTACTTTTTTTGAATGTAAGAGTGGTCCACCTATTACTTGAACTTCAAACCAGCCGGTTGACTGAGGCGTTCCTTCACCAGACTGACGTATAAAAATTTAAAGAATATCTAACTTACGATCTCGAGTTTCCCTGGGAAGCGACGCTCTAGTTGCTGTTTGAAGCTGTTGTACTGTTAAATAGCAAAATACAAATCACAGATGTTACAAAAAAACCAGGGTTCACTTGGTTAGATATCTAAACACTGGTGCTGTTTGGAAATATCTTGGTAAGACTTTTACCAAAGGATAGCTCAGAAGTATGTTAAATACACCTGCTCTACCTTTAGACCTCCCAGCGTTAAGAAAAGGATGCAAGCAACTCTCA